GGCGGGCGCGTGGCATCCACAAAACCAATCCTCTGGTGTCTGCAAGGTACCGGCAGAGGAGCGGGAGGGGGAAGGAAGCATGCAGGTATCAGAAACAGTGAAGTTTGTTTTGATCTCCTCGCTGCTGCGGGAAAGCCCGCAGCGATCAAAACACCGGTTCATTACCCTCCTGCTTCTGCAGGATAAAGAAACCACAAATCAAAATCAGTCAGTTCCTGGCTGACGGGTCGCGTTGCCTTTTGAGGAGGGTTCACTCAGACAGTTTTGTTAGGTTGGTTGCTTGCTCTTCTGTTTGGGTTTAGTCCAGGAGTTTTAACACAGAATCCATTTGAAAAGGTGATTGGGAGAGGAAAGAGACAATGGAAGGAGACGTGCCATTCCCGCAGCCGCTCACACTCCGCAGGCAGGGGGGTTCAGTCTTGCTGCTCCTCATTGCCTGGTTTCCGCTGATTACCTGCCAGCTACCTCCTAGCAGCCCACGAGCTCACTCCAACTCCTTCCCACCGCCCACCATGCCGACATTGCTCTTGTAAATATCCTCAGTGGAGTTCATGGGTTTCAGTCTCCGTTAAGACGCACGAAACATCGTCTACGTAACAGAAGGCAGAAATCAGCACTCACCGTGCCACAGGCCACCCCTCCGCCGCGGCAGCACCAGCTCCAGTTTCCCACTGGCCCCATTTCGAGCCTCCTCCTGTGAGCCCACGGGGAAGCAGGCAGAGTCGGAGAGCTGTGCCCGGCTCGCCGGCTGGGACCACTCTCCGGCAAACCCGTGCACAACAGCTTTTGTTTCTCACGCTCTGTCTTCACTGCCAGTTCATAGCGCAGCAGTTCCATCCTAGCCACAACCACCAACCGCTAGATCTCCTGGCAGGAGCAGCTGTGCTTCGTCCAGAACTGCTGTAAAATCATGGCCTTGGTTAATCGCCTACAAAACCCACGAAATTAACTCCCCTGGGCCAACGGAAGCTCTCCGAAGCACTGGCACAGCCTCAGAGAAGGAACTAAGAAAAAGGAACGGGGAAACTCATTGCTAGCCTACAGCCCCTGCTCTTTCACTCTTTCAGACGTTTTCTGTCTGCGGAGCAGGAAGCTGGCGTCTGCCTGCGGGGATTTTCAGCAGCACAGAAACCACCAGCAGCACAAATAAGTTCTTCACCTTGTGCTCTCTGTCACAATTTAAGCTCCTGCAGAAAATCCCGACAAACTGAAAATGTGCAGTTTGCCCAGGTACAGAAGGTGCTGCAAGCTGCGAATAAGAGGGTGAACGTGACTCTCGGCAATGCCACCTCCGAGACAGCTGAGTGTCTCAGAGCAGACGTGCCGGTTCTTTGCTGAAGACTCCTCCCAGCCCTTTAAAACTAGACCAGAAAACCTCATAAGCTGGCTCTATAACCAAGACCACCTCCGCTTCTCCCAAGCACATTCAGAAATAAACAGGATTGCATCAGGTGAGTTCAGGACCAGCTCGGGCAGTAATTTATAGGGTTGGTTTGGAGGGGAGGAGGCTGCCTGCTCAGCCCTGGCTCCGGACGATGGCTTGCTGCGTGCTAAGGGGAGGACAGACGGCTCGGTGTGACCCAGTCTGTAATCCGCCGAGGAGGAAGCATCTCGGGCACTTCAGCAGCGGGCCTCCCACGAGACTCGCAGAGGACGGCGGCACGGGTGTTGGAGCCACACGAGAATTAACTACGCGATCCCTGCGCACGCGCCGTGGCCGGTGCCGATCCCAGGCGTCCACACCCCGCAGCACGGGGCAGCCACGAGGCCCCGGCTCCACAGAGCGGGGCGTCCCGGAGAGCCGGGGCCT